TCTCGTGTACTTGATGTGATCAAGGTCCTGTCTCTCGTGTACTTGATGTGATCAAGGTCCTGTCTCTCGTGTACTTGAAGTGATCAAGGTCTTGTCTCTCGTGTACTTGATGTGATCAAGGTCCTGCCTCTCGTGTACTTGAAGTGATCAAGGTCCTGTCTCTCGTGTACTTGATGCGATCAAGGTCCTATCTCTCGTGTACTTGAAGTGATCAAGGTCCTGCCTCTCGTGTACTTGAAGTGATCAAGGTCTTGTCTCTCGTGTACTTGATGTGATCAAGGTCCTGCCTCTCGTGTACTTGAAGTGATCAAGGTCCTGTCTCTCGTGTACTTGATGCGATCAAGGTCCTATCTCTCGTGTACTTGAAGTGATCAAGGTCCTGCCTCTCGTGTACTTGATGTGATCAAGGTCCTATCTCTCGTGTACTTGATGTGATCAAGGTCCTATCTCTCGTGTACTTGAAGTGATCAAGGTCCTGTCTCTCGTGTACTTGATGTGATCAAGGTCCTATATCTCGTGTACTTGAAGTGATCAAGGTCCTGTCTCTCGTGTACTTGATGTGATCAAGGTCCTATCTCTCGTGTACTTGAAGTGATCAAGGTCCTGCCTATCGCGTACTTGATGTGATCAAGGTCCTATCTCTCGTGTACTTGATGTGATCAAGGTCCTATCTCTCGTGTACTTGAAGTGATCAAGGTCCTAACTCTCGTGTACTTGATGTGATCAAGGTCCTATCTCTCGTGTACTTGATGTGATCAAGGTCCTATCTCTCGTGTACTTGATGTGATCAAGGTCCTATCTCTCGTGTACTTGAAGTGATCAAGGTCCTGTCTCTCGTGTACTTGATGTGATCAAGGTCCTGTCTCTCGTGTACTTGATGTGATCAAGGTCCTATCTCTCGTGTACTTGAAGTGATCAAGGTCCTGTCTCTCGTGTACTTGATGTGATCAAGGTCCTATCTCTCGTGTACTTGAAGTGATCAAGGTCCTGTCTCTCGTGTACTTGATGTGATCAAGGTCCTATCTCTCGTGTACTTGATGTGATCAAGGTCCTGTCTCTCGTGTACTTGATGTGATCAAGGTCCTGTCTCTCGTGTACTTGATGTGATCAAGGTCCTGTCTCTCGTGTACTTGATGTGATCAAGGTCCTATCTCTCGTGTACTTGAAGTGATCAAGGTCCTGTCTCTCGTGTACTTGATGTGATCAAGGTCCTGTCTCTCGTGTACTTGATGTGATCAAGGTCCTATCTCTCGTGTACTTGATGTGATCAAGGTCCTATCTCTCGTGTACTTGATGTGATCAAGGTCCTATCTCTCGTGTACTTGAAGTGATCAAGGTCCTGTCTCTCGTGTACTTGATGTGATCAAGGTCCTATCTCTCGTGTACTTGAAGTGATCAAGGTCCTGTCTCTCGTGTACTTGATGTGATCAAGGTCCTATCTCTCGTGTACTTGAAGTGATCAAGGTCCTGTCTCTCGTGTACTTGATGTGATCAAGGTCCTATCTCTCGTGTACTTGAAGTGATCAAGGTCCTGTCTCTCGTGTACTTGATGTGATCAAGGTCCTATCTCTCGTGTACTTGAACTGATCAAGGTCCTGTCTCTCGTGTACTTGATGTGATCAAGGTCCTGTCTCTCGTGTACTTGAAGTGATCAAGGTCCTGTCTCTCGTGTACTTGAAGTGATCAAGGTCCTGTCTCTCGTGTACTTGAAGTGATCAAGGTCCTGTCTCTCGTGTACTTGAAGTGATCAAGGTCCTGTCTCTCGTGTACTTCATATGATCAAGGTCCTGTCTCGTGTACTTGAAGTGATCAAGGTCCTGCCTCTCGTGTACTTGATGTGATCAAGGTCCTGCCTCTCGTGTACTTGTAGTGATCAAGGTCCTGCCTCTCGTGTACTTGAAGTGATGAAGGTCCTGTCTCGCGTACTTGATATGATCAAGGTCCTGTCTCTCGTGTACTTGAAGTGATCAAGGTCCTATCTCTCGTGTACTTGAAGTGATCAAGGCCCTGTCTCTCGTGTACTTGAAGTGATCAAGGTCCTGTCTCTCGTGTACTTGAAGTGATCAAGGTCCTGTCTCTCGTGTACTTGATGTGATCAAGGTCCTGTCTCTCGTGTACTTGATGTGATCAAGGTCCTGTCTCTCGTGTACTTGATGTGATCAAGGCCCTGTCTCTCGTGTACTTGATGTGATCAAGGTCCTGTCTCTCGTGTACTTGAAGTGATCAAGGTCCTGTCTCTCGTGTACTTGATGTGATCAAGGTCCTGTCTCTCGTGTACTTGATGTGATCAAGGCCCTGTCTCTCGTGTACTTGATGTGATCAAGGTCCTGTCTCTCGTGTACTTGAAGTGATCAAGGTCCTGTCTCTCGTGTACTTGATGTGATCAAGGTCCTGTCTCTCGTGTACTTGATGTGATCAAGGTTCTGCTCGTGTACTTGATGTGATCAAGGTCCTGTCTCTCGTGTACTTGAAGTGATCAAGGTCCTGTCTCTCGTGTACTTGAAGTGATCAAGGTCCTGTCTCTCGTGTACTTGATGTGATAAAGGTCCTGTCTCTCGTGTAGTTGATGTGATCAAGGTCCTGTCTCTCGTGTACTTGAAGTGATCAAGGTCCTGTCTCTCGTGTACTTGATGTGATCAAGGTCCTGTCTCTCGTGTACTTGTAGTGATCAAGGTCCTGTCTCTCGTGTACTTGATGTGATCAAGGCCCTGCCTCTCGTGTACTTGAAGTGATCAAGGTCCTGTCTCTCGTGTACTTGATGTGATCAAGGTCCTGTCTCTCGTGTACTTGTAGTGATCAAGGTCCTGTCTCTCGTGTACTTGATGTGATCAAGGTCCTGTCTCTCGTGTACTTGAAGTGATCAAGGTCCTGTCTCTCGTGTACTTGATGTGATCAAGGTCCTGCCTCTCGTGTACTTGAAGTGATCAAGGTCCTGTCTCTCGTGTACTTGATGTGATCAAGGTCCTGCCTCTCGTGTACTTGATGTGATCAAGGTCCTGTCTCTCGTGTACTTGTAGTGATCAAGGTCCTGTCTCTCGTGTACTTGTAGTGATCAAGGTCCTGTCTCTCGTGTACTTGTAGTGATCAAGGTCCTGTCTCTCGTGTACTTGTAGTGATCAAGGTCCTGTCTCTCGTGTACTTGATGTGATCAAGGTCCTGTCTGTCGTGTACTTTTAGCATATTATTATAATCAAAAGAAGCGCTAAACCGCAAGGGTTATAGCGCAGGTTCTTAGTATATACAATTATGATCGTAATTCCCAAGAAATGTTTTACCCGGGTCACAGTAACTTTTCCCCTGGGGGGGACAGGGGTGTGACCTGAAATGTTTTACCCGGGTCACAGTAACTTTTCCCCTGGGGGGGACAGGGGTGTGACCTGAAATGTTTTACCCGGGTCACAATAACTTTTCCCCTGGGGGGACAGGGGTGTGACCTGAAATGTTTTACCCGGGTCACAATAACTTTTCCCCTGGGGGGACAGGGGTGTGACCTGAAATGTTTTACCCGGGTCACAATAACTTTTCCCCTGGGGGGGGGACAGGGGTGTGACCTGAAATGTTTTACCCGGGTCACAATAACTTTTCCCCTGGGGGGGACAGGGGTGTGACCTGAAATGTTTTACCCGGGTCACAATAACTTTTCCCCTGGGGGGGACAGGGGTGTGACCTGAAATGTTTTACCCGGGTCACAATAACTTTTCCCCTGGGGGGACAGGGGTGTGACCTGAAATGTTTTACCCGGGTCACAATAACTTTTCCCCTGGGGGGGGACAGGGGTGTGACCTGAAATGTTTTACCCGGGTCACAATAACTTTTCCCCTGGGGGGGACAGGGGTGTGACCTGAAATGTTTTACCCGGGTCACAATAACTTTTCCCCTGGGGGGGACAGGGGTGTGACCTGAAATGTTTTACCCGGGTCACAATAACTTTTCCCCTGGGGGGAGACAGGGGTGTGACCTGAAATGTTTTACCCGGGTCACAATAACTTTTCCCTGGGGGGAGACAGGGGTGTGACCTGAAATATTTTACCCGGGTCACAATAACTTTTCCCCTGGGGGGGAGACAGGGGTGTGACCTGAAATGTTTTACCCGGGTCACAATAACTTTTCCCCTGGGGGGAGACAGGGGTGTGACCTGAAATATTTTACCCGGGTCACAATAACTTTTTCCCCTGGGGGGACAGGGGTGTGACCTGAAATGTTTTACCCGGGTCACAATAACTTTTCCCCTGGGGGGGAGACAGGGGTGTGACCTGAAATGTTTTACCCAGGTCACAGTAACTTTTCCCCTGGGGGGGGACAGGGGTGTGACCTGAAATGTTTTACCCGGGTCACAATAAGTTTTCCCCTGGGGGGGAGACAGGGGTGTGACCTGAAATGTTTTACCCGGGTCACAATAACTTTTTCCCCTGGGGGGGACAGGGGTGTGACCTGAAATGTTTTACCCAGGTCACAATAACTTTTCCCCTGGGGGGGAGACAGGGGTGTGACCTGAAATGTTTTACCCGGGTCACAATAACTTTTCCCCTGGGGGGGACAGGGGTGTGACCTGAAATGTTTTACCCGGGTCACAGTAACTTTTCCCCTGGGGGGGGACAGGGGTGTGACCTGAAATATTTTACCCGGGTCACAATAACTTTTCCCCTGGGGGGGACAGGGGTGTGACCTGAAATGTTTTACCCCGGTCACAATAAGTTTTCCCCTGGGGGGGGACAGGGGTGTGACCTGAAATGTTTTACCCCGGTCACAATAACTTTTCCCCTGGGGGGGGACAGGGGTGTGACCTGAAATGTTTTACCCGGGTCACAATAACTTTTCCCCTGGGGGGGAGACAGGGGTGTGACCTGAAATGTTTTACCCGGGTCACAATAACTTTTCCCCTGGGGGGGACAGTGGTGTGACCTGAAATGTTTTACCCGGGTCACAATAACTTTTCCCCTGGGGGGGGGGACAGGGGTGTGACCTGAAGCAGTGACTAATAACCAAGTACTGATACTCACCTTACGTTGTCGATATTCTTCACTGTTAACATTGAGAGTGAGGAAGAGGTCGTCAAGAGGACTAGTGCCAGGCGCAGTGGAGTATGCCATGCTGTTGTTCATTCGTACGAGGGAGGAACGTGTTGGCGTAGATCGTGAGGGGGATATCCTGGGGGGTGTGGTTCGTGAGAAGCTCCTGGGAGGCGTGGTTCGTGAGGGTGATGATCGTGGAGGTGAAGCCCTGGGAGAGGGTGAGAAGCGTGGGGGTGTGACTCTTGTGGTAGTAGAAGGCTCCTCGTCCTCCTCCTGTATGCTGGTGTCGTACAGTGAAAGTCGCCGCGACCCCAACAGAGCCTCAACGTCCAAGGAGTCGCGTCGAAAGCCGCTCTTAACCTCTGCTGGATCGGGAGGAATGTCCTCGTTCTCTCGAGACAATTTGCGCCCCTCCTGTGCAGTGCTGGTGGCAGGATTCTTGACAGGTGTGGAGGTAGGGCCCAGGTCTCGCCTGGGAGACGCCCTAGGAGACTCCAGCTCACGACGGGGAGAGGCACGTGGAGAGACGCGAGGGTGTAGACGGAACATTGCGGTCGTTGTTTCGTGATCGCTGTTAAAACTATAGCGACGATCACCGGCCCACCGCTCAGCGCTTCCGTTCACGGAGCCATTATTGATGCTGCTCTTACGGGGACCTGACGTAGTCCCGCTGCTACGACGCTCTCCGAATGTCGCGCTCTTGCGACGCTCCGCCATGCCATTGCTGCCGCCAGTAACGTTGTTACGACGGTCCAATAGACTGTTGACACTTCCCCGCCGGTCAGTAGCCGAACTGAGGCTAGTACGACGGTCAGCAATGTTGCTTGTGCTACCCCGCCTCTCTCCCATATTGCTAACTCCAACACTCGTCCTCTCCCCAACACTGCCTCTCTTATCACCAACACTGCTTCTCTTATCACCAACACTGCCTCTCTTATCCCCAACACTGCCTCTCTTATCTCCAAGACTACCTCTCCTCTCTCCAATACTGCCACGCCTCTCCCCGCTGGCACCCTTCTTGTGCTGGACACAGTTGGATGAATCAATGTAACTATGTCTCCTGGTGTAACCTTCCTCCTGCCTGGCCTTGATGTCATTAAAGAGAGCATCGAGGCGAGCGAGCACTTGGTCCTGTGAGGAGAGCGGTTCATGCTTCATGCCCAGGGTGGAGTCCGAGGTTCTGAACCTAGCGTGACGGACCAGCTTGTACTCTGGCTCTGGTGAACCAGCCTTCCCGTTCACTGGCATCTTCACCAACTCTGACTACACTTGCTCTTGGAATCACTTGTCAATGACACACTTCCCGAATTTAGCGCTGCTTTTCCCTACTTCCAGATTACAAAAACTATAGGATATGCAGCAAAAGAATTGTCTTTGGCTAAATTATAGACACCTTAGACGGATTTAGCACCTGTGTAATAATAATAATAATACTAATAATAATAATAATAATAATAATAATAATAATTAAAATAAACTTGACTCACAGTAAATAGTACAATAATATATATATATACATACATACATATATATATATATATATATATATATATATATATATATATATATATATATATATATATATAGTACTGCAAAAGCTTAGTTGATCAGGTCATCCAGTGGGATGCTAGGCAGGGGACAGGGCCACGGGAGAGTTGATCCCTGTAACAGCCTCCATGTAGGCATCAACCATCCTGGGAGGCACGACTCTCCTCTCACACGAGTGTGAAATGGAATCATATAAATATTACACACTCTAGCAGGATTGGTGGTATTTCCTATCCCACGAACACGTAAAATACGAGGTGACCCAACACGCTACACATACATGACTCCTGCAGCACATGGGTATATTGAGACGTCTCGCCAACCACTGGTTTTATGATAAACTCTCGGGGTAAACAGACACAAACGCTGCATAATACGATTCTTTTTAACTACGTTTCGCCCACACAGTGGGCTTCATCAAGTCACAAACAGATGTGTTTGTGACTTGATAAAGACTACTGTATAGGCGAAACGTAGTCAATAAAGGATCGCAAAAATGTGCATTTGTGTCTATATATTCCATCGTGTCGGTATTTTATACAGTTTCTCTCAAAGATAAACTCCATTTCCTCAGTCTGGTTATCATCAGGTAGCCACAGCAACACTCTTGTCATTCTGCAATGTGAGATATTCTGTCATCATCACTCCAATGTCTCGCACATGAAACCTTGGCGCTAGTGATTGATATGAGCATGTTCTGTGCTCCGTTACATTGTTGTGTGAGGTCCACTATAATCTCCCTTGTCTATAATTACTATTATATTTCCTCTGTCTGTTTCGTAAGGTGAATATCTTTCCTTAATTCATGGTACAACTTTATAAATCTTTGAGGATAATTGTCTGTGCTCACACCTCTGCAACATAATTGTCTGTGCTCACACCTCTACAACATAATTGTTTGTGCTCACACCTCTGCAACATAATTGTCTGTGCTCACACCTCTACAACATAATTGTTTGTGCTCACACCTCTGCAACATAATTGTCTGTGCTCACACCTCTGCAACATAATTGTCTGTGCTCACACCTCTACAACATAATTGTCTGTGCTCACACCTCTGCAACATAATTGTCTGTGCTCACACCTCTGCAACATAATTGTCTGTGCTCACACCTCTGCAACATAATTGTCTGTGCTCACACCTCTACAACATAATTGTCTGTGCTCACACCTCTGCAACATAATTGTCTGTGCTCACACCTCTGCAACATAATTGTCTGTGCTCACACCTCTGCAACGTAATTGTCTGTGTTCACACTTCTGCAACATAATTGTCTGTGCTCACACCTCTGCAACATAATTGTCTGTGCTCACACCTCTGCAACATAATTGTCTGTGCTCACACCTCTACAACATAATTGTCTGTGCTCACACCTCTGCAACATAATTGTCTGTGCTCACACCTCTGCAACATAATTGTCTGTGCTCACACCTCTGCAACATAATTGTCTGTGCTCACACCTCTACAACATAATTGTTTGTGCTCACACCTCTGCAACATAATTGTCTGTGCTCACACCTCTGCAACATAATTGTCTGTGCTCACACCTCTGCAACATAATTGTCTGTGCTCACACCTCTGCAACATAATTGTCTGTGCTCACACCTCTGCAACATAATTGTCTGTGCTCACACCTCTGCAACATAATTGTCTGTGCTCACACCTCTACAACATAATTGTCTGTGCTCACACCTCTGCAACATAATTGTCTGTCCTCACACCTCTGCAACATAATTGTCTGAGCTCACACCTCTGCAACATAATTGTCTGTGCTCACACCTCTGCAACATAATTGTCTGTGCTCACACCTCTGCAACATAATTGTCTGTGCTCACACCTCTGCAACATAATTGTCTGTGCTCACACCTCTGCAACATAATTGTCTGTGCTCACACCTCTGCAACATAATTGTCTGTGCTCACACCTCTACAACATAATTGTCTGTGCTCACACCTCTGCAACATAATTGTTTGTGCTCACACCTCTGCAACATAATTGTCTGTGCTCACACCTCTGCAACATAATTGTCTGTGCTCACACCTCTGCAACATAATTGTCTGTGCTCACACCTCTGCAACATAATTGTCTGTGCTCACACCTCTGCAACATAATTGTCTGTGCTCACACCTCTGCAACATAATTGTCTGTGCTCACACCTCTGCAACATAATTGTCTGTGCTCACACCTCTGCAACATAATTGTCTGTGCTCACACCTCTACAACATAATTGTCTGTGCTCACACCTCTGCAACATAATTGTCTGTGCTCACACCTCTACAACATAATTGTCTGTGCTCACACCTCTGCAACATAATTGTCTGTGCTCACACCTCTGCAACATAATTGTCTGTGCTCACACCTCTGCAACATAATTGTCTGTGCTCACACCTCTGCAACATAATTGTCTGTGCTCACACCTCTGCAACATAATTGTCTGTGCTCACACCTCTGCAACATAATTGTCTGTGCTCACACCTCTGCAACATAATTGTCTGTGCTCACACCTCTGCAACATAATTGTCTGTGCTCACACCTCTGCAACATAATTGTCTGTGCTCACACCTCTGCAACATAATTGTCCTCAGAGACTTGTTAAGTTATACCAAGAATTAAGGAAAGATCTTAAGACTTCACGTTACGAAACAGAGAAAATACGATAATAATTATGAACAAGGTGGATTATAGTGGGAAAATAAACATGTAATTAGAAGACGGAGGAACTTACGTGCCTCTTAATTTATATCCAAGCGAAAATTTGGTGTCTTCGAGGGACGTCACAGCCACAGGGGTTCTGATGTCATCGACAAACGATGTTACGGTGTTATGATATATGATGATAAGACACATGTTTCTTTAAACTTTTTATTTTTGAAATATTTCCCTTCTAAGGTAAAGAATATAAGACAGGAGGAACACTGCAGCAGGACTACTGGCCCATACTAGGCAAGTCATTCTCAAAACCAACTATTTCTACCCACCCAGTTGTCCAGGTTCTTCCCGAAGCTGATGATATTACAAGTACTAGAGAAGTGCGTAGATGAGAGAGAGAGAGAGAGAGAGAGAGAGAGAGAGAGAGAGAGAGAGAGAGAGAGAGAGAGAGAGAGAGAGAGAGAGAGAGAGAGAGAGAGAGAGAGAGAGAGAAACGTGGTGTAGCATAAACAATTAAGGTGTCGTATGCAGGTAACACAACTAAAGTGAAACTCCAATACCAACCTCTGTGTTGTAACCTCCCCCCCCCACACACACACACACACACACACACACACACACACACACACACACACACACACACACAGAATAACCCAGGCACAGGTGGAAGGACAAGCACACACCCCAGAAACACCTGCAGAAGGACTCTAGCCACGACACCCACAAGGCAACTGAACAATCCAAACCATCACACACCGATCCCTCTGTTCCCACCCCCCGCACCACGAACCCTACCCCCCTACCCCTACAGCAACCCCCTATGGGAGCTCTTCCTCCACCTCCACTGCAACCCCCCATAGGCCCCCACCAGGTCTCCTGCTCTCCCAATCCCAGTATTCCCCCAGGACCACAGTTACAGTATTAGAACAGAAGTTGAAGGTTTGGTACACAAATGCGGATAGATTAACGAATAAATATGAGGAATGGCAAGAAAGAATCAATGAGAAGTCCCCAGACATCATAGCAGTTACAGAAACAAAACTCACGGAGACAATAACAGATGCAATCTTCCCACCAGGATACCAAATCATGAGGAAAGATAGAAGGGGCAGAGGGGGAGGAGGGGTTGCTCTGCTCGTAAAAAACCGATGGAAATTCGAGAAAATGGGAGGCATAGACGAGACAGGAGAAAGGGACTACATAGTAGGTACACTCCAGTCTGGGGAGACAAAGTGGTCATTGCATGATGTATAATACCACCACAAACTGCAGGAAGCCAAGAAGAGGAAATGAGATAGCACAGAGCAATGGGGACAGCACTTGCTAGGTCAGAAATCAACCGATGAGAAATTGCTGGAAAATGGGGGTACACAGAGAGACGGGAAAATGGACACATGTGGTACACCCAATACATGGAGAGCCAAATGTGGATCGTGTGCAGGAAAATATCCACCAACAGAAACCCTCAGAGGAGGGCAGAGACGAATCAGCAAGAGAAGCCTAGGTTCAACCTGGTGTGGCACACACTTGCTGGTGGTGGCAAGCAACAGCTTCATTGCAGCACGAGCATAGTTCATGGTATGGGCAGAAGTTTCATTGGCACACGTGGGTCATTGTGGTGGAAACTGAGTCATTGTGTGGGCCCGAAACATGAATGACACAGATGTTCGGACTGTGCTTGACCATACACCTCATGCCACCAACAGTTACAGGACACTACCAGCAGTCAGACACGACTAGGACAGACATCCATATCACCAGACCACAACTATGTCACCACCGATAGTGGACGGGCACACAGCTGTCGGAGGGGGCACCACCAGCTGTCAGTGGTGCGCAGCACAGCTGGCAATGTGGAGGCCAGCACCAGCATTGTCATCCAGTGTGGGCCAGCCACTAGCACGTGTACCATGTGGTGCCAGCACACCCTTAGCACAGTTATCAGGCCACGCACAGACAACCACATTAGACAGCACACTAGCACCGCACCACCATGTGCGACCATACACCAGCACACCTACCCAGCACCACCTAGCCCGCACTACAGCAGCACCACCACTAGCAACTAGCACCACACACTAGCACCAGCACCACCACTAGCACCAGCACCACTAACCAGCACCACCACTAGCACCAGCACACCACTAGCACCACCTACACACACCACCACTAACACCAGCACACTAGCACCAGCAACCACATACTAGCACCAG